TTCTTAGTGCTTTTCATTGGAAATGGCATAAAAAGTAAGATTTCTCTGAATTTTTTATGCCGTGGGCTCACAAGAGACATAAGATGTTTTTGGATGTCTGGCAGTGCATGACAGCAGAAATAACGAAGTGGTCACAAACCCCAGCAGAACTTCCCATGTCACATGCAGCCTTAATTTTTAAAGTATCTAGGAACAATCTAAGCAGTTGATAATATATCATTTCTAGGTGATAAAAGCTATTTGATATAGGGTGTTGCTTTCCTTTCTACACTTGCATTTTATAGTCATTTAGAAACTTTAAATGATAGTGAATTTTTGTGTTTTTAAATACATACCCTAGATCGTAACTGAATTGTAGCTTTATTTTCCTTTTTTGTTTTTATTTTGTTTGGGGGGCACAGGTGACAACTGTAGAGCTGTAGGAGAGGGGACCATGGCATTCCCCACTGGGTACTTTGGAACCGTGTGCCACGGATTGAGTTTGAATCCAGGGCTTCTATATTGTACCTTCCCCATACCCCCTTTTTTCTTTTCTTTTTGTTATTTGTTTTTTTTTAATACTGATTTTTAAGCTTTTTGAGTTTTTTCTTTCAAGCTTTTAAAATAATTTATTTTAGGGGCTGGAGCAATAGGTACAGCTGGTAAGGTACTTTCCCTCTGTGTGACCCATCGGTTTTGATCCCCAGCACCTCATATCGTCCCCCCTAAGCCCCTCAAGGAGTAAATCCTGAGCATAGCTGGGCGTGGCCCCCCAAAAAAACAAAATATTTTAATACAATTTATGTAAATAAACAAACACTTTCCATAGTAACTGGCGTAATTGTAATTGGAAATGCAAAAGATGGCTACTATAAAAGAGATGGAAAAATTTTAAACTAATTTTAAGAGTTGTACTTTTAAAACAGCTTTTTATGATATATAAAAATTAGGAACTATAGATCGGTATGTAAGAAATTTAGTTTAATCTTCCAGTGAACTAATGGCTGATCAGAGGTATGAATTTAAAAATAAATAGCATACTGAAATCACTGTACTATATTCATAAAGTAGCCAAATTATGGATTAAACTGAATTTAAAAATAAGAGTTTTGAGTCACAAACTAGATTATTATTAAAATGAATTGATGTGTCTTTGACCCTTGGGTATGCTTGGAATAAATGTGGAACACAGTATTGTTTTTAAAACGATTTTGCTTTTATAAGCTAAGACAGATGTACAAAAAAAGATGCAGTTTTTATTTTGTATTGGCAGCTTCCAAATATTTAGTATCTATTTCCAAGAGTTGCAATTAGTAAAGCAACCATGGTACTGAAATCTGCACATCCCACAAGCTAATTATATTTGCAAGGTCAGAGTGAATACATATTTTCAGAAAAATAAAGGGTTATATAAATATGTGTCTTCTACTTGGCTGTTATATCACAGTTTGTTGATCTGGAGTATAATGTGTACAATTCACAAATTTGTCTGATAACAGAAAGTGGTGTGTGATTGTGTTTATTTTACTAACCAGTATATTCACAGCAATCACTTCCAAATATCTCTCCAGTAAAGATGTGTTAATTACAAAACAGACAAGGTCTTCTATTATATTAAAGCTACTAACAAGAAGACAGCAGGAATCACACATGTAAATAGCATCATCAACCCCTATTTTAGTCCTCTGTTTTGATCTGTGAGTTGCGCATAGACCAAAGGTGCTATTAAAGACTGAGTGTATGAAATAGGCAGCATTATATGAACAAAATTTATTCAACAAGAAAACAGACCTTTAACATGAATTTAACAAGCCTGAGAAATTATAAACTATCATATGCTGCAGATTCATGCAGTGATAATAAACAAAAAAGGAAAGTAAGAGGTTTCCCTTAGCTAGCCAAACTGCTAATGGTTTTGTTATAAGCTGTCTACTGTTGCAGTGACCTCTGAAAAGTCTCAAGGCACTTGTACCAGCAGAAAAAATTAAATGGTCAGACTAGTGAGTAGAGATTCAGTGTGGTGTGTAGGATTTCAGCATGGAAAAAAAATGATAAAAAGTCTGGTATCATTCATGAAAATATCTTTCATACTTGGATGTTTTTGTTAAGTATTGTGGAAAGTTTTTTGTGCAAAGTTTTTTGGTTAGGTTATTGTTTGGCTTTGTAAGACAAATGAACTAGTTTAATGGCATATACACTTTCAAATAAACTGTTTAGAAAAGTTGTATTGTTCCAAAAAGTGGACTTCTTCTGCTGTTCTTTAATCAATGCCATAATTAGCCCTCGTTCGGAATATTTAAATTTTCAGTCTGAACCATAGTAGAGTGACCATTCTGTTGTCATTCTGTTGCATTATGCTATAAATACATAATGCCATCAGCTTATACACATCTTCAAGTGCTCACTAGGGCTTTTTCTTGAATCTTACTGTGGCATAATTAACACCTTCTTCACCCATTGCTCATTAGTGTGCTGGACATTAATGAGTCTATTTTGATAGCTTGCTTTAAAGGAGAAATCCATTTATTCTCACAGTGCAAAAAGCAATTATAAAATTATACAGAAATTAAAATTTAAAGTATATTGCCATATTTATATTTTATTGCATACTAAGGCTAATTTTGGTCTGCAGGTTGTTGAGCATGTTAGTTGCCTTAAGACAGTTGCTATAGTGATGGCAGCAAATTCCTTTAATCTTAGTGTAGTTAAGTGTTTGTTTTTCTATTGGCTATCATATTGTTACTCAGGAATTGTCCACCTAAGCATATCAGTTCATATAGACCTTCATTTATAAGTTGACTAGTATGTTAATCTATGTATTTTTCTCTTTGTTACATAACTAAGATATATTTCAGATTTACTTCCTAGCAGATTATATCTACTTAGCTGTTATTTTTATTTCCTCCTTTGGAAGTTTCACACCTGCTTAAGTATTCTAGAGATTTTTGCATATTGCTCTCCACTGTTTTGGTTTGAAAGGACGCAGTGTAAAAATGTATATAGGCATTTTGTTGTGATATGTTGGGATTTTCATAGTTTTATAGATTATTTTTCTATAAATTTTATTGAAACCTTAAAATGGAATCAAAGTTTTCTAAAAACAAAACTGGTCTTAAATATTTTACCACTAATGTTTATGTTGCCAATTTTTAATTGTGTATTTTTATATATATATTATGTGAATCTATTGAGAGAAGCACTTTTCTTTCCTACAATTCAGTTTTATTTTGCGAACTTTAAAAAAAAAATTGGAAAGTTTTACTTATCTGATTTAAATGTTTGCTATTGCTATTTATTTTTACTGCTTTATGGAAAACTGAGTAGGAAAGCTTTTTTTTTTTTTTTTGCCTTTTGGGTCACACCGGACAATGCACAGGGGTTACTCCTGGCTCTGCACTCAGGAATTACTCCTGATGGTGCTCAGGGGACCATATGGGATGCTGGGGATCGAACCCAGGTCGGCCACATGCAAGGCAAATGCCCTACCCTCTGTGCTATTGTTCCAGCCCTAGAAAAACTTTAAGTACAATTATAAACTTATAAAAGTGATAGTTGAGTCTGTATTATATATACTGTAATTTTTTAAAATTACGGTTGGTGTGTTTAAAAAAATATTAAATCATGCATATTTTGAATATACTTAGTATTATTTTGAGGCATGGGGAATCTTTGGGGAAATTCAGACTTCTGGAAATTAAAGCAAAATTAAATTTTTTTCCCGCCAAGAATGGACAAGTTCTTACATTGATTTACTTTTCAGTACTTTGGTCTAAGTATGTATTCTTTTTGATCCTTTGTGGAAACTTGTAGAAAGGAAGATCTATTTCTTGTAGTCTTATTTAGTATATATGAGCATAATATTACTACAAAGAAATTTTCAGACAATTGGATTTTCGTTGACTTAAGTTCAAAATTTTATTTTTTTCTTTCATAATTTCAATAACTTTGCAAATGAGAAAAAACATATTGTTGACCATAGCTTTCATAAAATATTTTTAATAAATCTTAGTTATTTAGCACTTTTAAAGGCAAATTTAAAGATTCTGTATTATCCTGTTATTTTGTGTGATGAATATATTTATTCTCTAGGTAGTTTAAAATTCCCTTCCCCCTCTCCCCCAGAAATTGCATTTGTCTTAAAATTCCAATGCCTTACCATAAAACTTGACGGTGTTTGAAAGTTTAAATTCTTTCAAATTCATTGTTGTGAACAGAAAGCAGCATGGGAAAGTATGATTCTTGTTCTCTTAGTATGTAAGAGCTAATAGATGATACTGTATCATGTAAGTACATAAAAACTTTCTATACAGATTACTGAATGCACTTAGCAAAAAGAGGATACCTATTGTTATTTCTTTACTATGAACTTAGGGCCATATCATTCTATACCATATTCCTGACTTCAAGTACAGATGACCTTGGTTTTCTTGTACTGTGCCTCCTATGCTTGACAGTGACTTGGATATTTAAGACCATCAGACAAGGTATAAAGTCTTTCATAGTCAAAAGAAGTACAAGGTATCTGACTAGAAGAGAATAGTGGAGCAAGTACCTTGCTGGTTGTAATTTTGTTGTCATTTCAAGTACTGTGGAGGTATAATTGATGTGACAGGGCTGGGCTTTAGATGTGGTCCCTTAGCTTGTGCTCACTTTCAGTTTTAGTTTCTCTTTGTCATTCATTTTGGTTAAGTAAAATTTAGGTGACAAATATATGCACCAATGAAGGCTTTTTGGTGGAAGTTTAGTAATGACATATTTCAATAATAAAGATGCAATGTTAATATTTTTCTTTACTGCTTTATGAAAATTACAATAATTGGTGTCACCTTACATTACAAGATAGAGGGTGGTGTGCTGATGGCACAGTCAGCAGGAGGTTCCTTTTTATTAATATTATAATTAAATGATTTTTCTGGAAATAGGCCAGAAACAGATGCAAGTTGATCATGCCTTGTCCACTGTTGCTTGGCATCATCACTTGTTTTTTAAAAAAGAATTGACTTGACACCTTGTTTTTACAGGTTGTTATTGATGCCTTCAGATTGATCAATGCTAATATGATGGTCTTAGGACATGAACCAAGACAAACAACTTCAAATCTGGGTCACTTAAACAAGCCATCTATCCAGGTAAATCCCATAGACAATGTTAAAACTCTGCTGTACATTTTTAAAACCTCTTATAAAGGCATTTTAGGATCTAACACTTAGCCATTTGTAATTAGTTATTTTCTGTGCTTAGAAAAATATTTGACCTATTGCAAATCAGATTTATTCATATATGAGTAATTTTTTAGTGGCGTTAATAAACTCTCCTAACATAATTTAGGATACCCTTTTGGGAAGCCAAATAAGAGCCTTAATGTTGATCTGTTTTTGCATATTAAAAGTTATAATAAAGAGTGATTAGAAAAATCAGATAGAATATATTTGCCATCATTGTTGATTGGTTACTTGGTTGATCAGTAGACTATTTCTCATAGCAGCAAATTATGGAAAAAAATAATGTATGCTTTCAAGAGTCCTTAGAAATATTTACTTTGTTGTACTTTAAATTCTGTATCTTTTTTGTTGTTTAATGCCAATATTTTATATTTAAAATATAAATAGCATCTATATATTACTTTGATTAGAATCTTACTCTTTCTTGTAATATCAACCTCTATCATTACAGTTATTCAGACACTTAATATCCTCCTGAGTGTTTAATGTTTTCTGTGTATCATTTGCATGCCTCATTGTTTTTACACAAATCTTTATTGTCTGCAAAAATTATTTTAAATGTGTTTTTAAGTGCTCCACAACCTGTGTCTATATAGTTAATTGCTTCTCTGAAGATTAATTAAAAAGACAGAAACACCATGTTTGGTTAAATAGAAAACACAGGACAAAGACATTATAGTAGCTATTGGCACTCTCCTTCTGTAACCTTGCTCTGTCATTCAGTTATCTTTAGGGAGTTGTGGCTTTAACAGTTAACATGGCTAAGCCTTGGTTACACTCTGATAACTTTATAATAAAGACACTTTGCAGCATTCATGCAACTGAAATGTTCATCACAGTGAAATGTTTTGTTGGAAAGGATTTAGGTGTGTTGCTTTTAAAAAGTTTTTTGTTTTTTTTTTTTTTACAAGTCAGGGAAAGCTGCAAAGTTTAATGAGTATGAAATAAGCTACCAGTGTTTTTGATTGGGTACAGACAAGCCCATGCTTGCATGTTCCAAGAGAATATATTATTGGACCTGTTTAGCCAGTGATAATGACCTTTCTTATAAACCCCCATAGCAGCATACTGCTTCATTATTTTTTTTTATGGAAAAGGTTAAGTAGCATCTCACAATCCAAGATCATAATGATTATTGCATAGTATTTTTATGCCAGAAGTTTTTACTAATTGCAAGTCAGCAGCCACCTGTTGCAAATTTCAGGCCATGATAGCTGATAGCTGCTTTTTAACCCTAAAAATTAAAGAAGGTCAGTTTTAAAATGTTTCTCTCCAATCCAGTCCATTTTTTTTAAATCATACCATACAGTGTATAATTTAAGATGGAACTCCAGAAGCAGGTTGTAAAATGATATGTGTGTATAGTAGCTGCAGCAACATTGTTTATCCTTTCAATTTAGTTTGTTTTGCCTTCCAATTAAGATCTGTAAATATATTTATCTCACAGTTTATATAGTGCCCACCAGAATGACATCTATCTGGGTGCTTTACAGTTTTAAGATTATTTCAATACTAAAACACTCACATGAGATCAATACAAAAAGTGAAAGAGTAAAACCACACCTTAAACTTTTTTTTCAGTTTTCTAAGAGTAGATAGATAACAATAGGGGAAAACAGCCCTGAAGAACCTATAGTTCATGATACCTAAAATAGAAATTTTAATGTTACCTGTTAGCATAATTTTAAACAAAGGGAAAGTGGCTCATCATAAGAGGACCCTTTCTCATAAACCTATTTTTAGATTCTATATAGGAACCCAACAACAATTGTCAATATTCCTGGTGATCACTATGGGGATTCTAATATGATTTCTTTGCTATTAGTCTTAAAAGTAATGGGGAAAATTATGATCACATTGTAGGCTTTTTTTTTGTCTGCCTATTTACAGTGTATTGGTACGGTTGCCTTTAGGTACTAGAATTATGGTATTTGTCCTTGTGTTTTATTTCTTAAACTTATACTGTGAAATGTTACTTTTAGAATATTTTTTATAGTGCCAATAACTATATGCTGTAATAGCCAAGAAGTATGTTGAAGTATATCTACCATTAAACAAGTCTCATAGGGGCCGGAGTGATAGCATAGCAGATAGGGTGTTTGCCTTGCATGCAGCCGACCTGGGTTCAAGCCCTGGCATCCCATATGGTTCCCCCAAGCACCGCCAGGAATAATTCTTGAGTGCAGAGCCAGGAATAACCCCTGAGCATCGCTGGGTGTGACCCAAAAAGCAAAAAATAAAAATATAAATAAATAAATAAACAAGTCTCATAGACAAGCTTATATTAACTTTTCCTCCCAGTTTTTGAGCCAGATCTGACAGTTCTTGGGGCTTATTCCTGGCTTTGTGCTTAGGATCACTCTTAGCTGGACTTACAGAACCATATGGGGGAAATATTTTTTCTTTAGATCTTAACTGCTTTAATTTTTTAGGAGTTTGACTTTCAACTGATGAGATTACTATATAGATCATGAAGTGCCTTATAATCTTCCTGATTTTACATAGCGTTGAGTATATCTTCTCAATATTAGAGGCAATGTCTGTAATGTATGATTTAGGTAGATGTTTTTGCTTTCGACTATTTTACTTAGTCATTTTGTAGGAAGCAATTCTTATAGAATCTTATTTTAGCAACTCACTTTAGCAATCCCGCAAAAAAATATAGTTCTACATAGTTCCATCTAATGTAGTGAAATGTTCTCGTAAACTGCCTATATTTATGTTCTATAGTTTATATCACCTTTGCTCATGCGTCACTGAAGTTCTAAGATTATTACTTTATTAATAATGATGGGTGGGATGTGCCACACCCAGCTGTGCTCAGGACTTTCTCCTGGCTCAGTGCTCAGGGATCAGTCCTGATGGTACTCAGGGGACCATATGTGGTGCAAGGAATCAAATCAAAGTCAGACGCATGCAAGGCAGGTGCCTTACTCACTATGTTATGTCTCTGACCCCAGTTCTGCATTTTCTGACTGTGGATTTATTAACTTTATGATCACTGTATAGAATTACCAAGTTAGGGCATTCACTGCATAAAGGCACAAGGATAGAAAGCAGTTTTCTTCTGAAATTCTAGTTGTAAACTCCATTCTCCAGCCACGCTGTGTCTGCTGAGAGAATTGGGTACCTCTTTCTTTTTCTTTCACCCAAGATTTACTTCCTAATTTGCATAAGGTAAGTATACATTAAGGATAGATATCTTGATTAAATTTAGTTTTTGATATGTATGATATAGCACTTGTATGCACTTAGAAAATTTTGCTCACTGAGAAATTTAGTTCACTCTTCCAGGGGTTATTGGATGAATAAGGATATTCTTAGAACTTTGATATCACATATCAGCCTTTTTCAGTCACTTCACTATGGGATTTCATAGCACACACTGTAGCAGATGTTAGGAATGTAAGAATAGAATGTCACAGTACATATCTAACATGTTTTAGTACTTGGTGGAGTGTTATTTGTTAACAAAGCTTAAGAAGACTGTACTCTATTATTATCTTGATCCTTCAAATACAAGGACTTAATCCAGGAATTCCCTAAGCTACATTGCAACAAAGTATAGTGGAATTAAGAAAAAGAAAAACCTCAGGTTTATGCTGTGAATGAAGAAATATTAAATTCTATGCCCTTTTCCCCCTTTGAAATACCAAAAAGCTTCCTAGAATTATCACATCAGACTTAATAAATTATATATATTTTTTTCAAATTAGGAAGTTTATTTTTATCTGGGACTGGAGGGATGGCACAGCGGGGAGGGCATTTGCCTTGCACACGGCCAACCTGGGTTCGATTCCTCCATTCCTCTCTGAGAGCCTGAAAAGCTCTCCTTGGCGTATTCAGTATGTCAAAAACAGTAACAAGTCTCACAATGGAGACCTTACTGGTGTCCACTCGAGCAAAAATTGATGAACAAAAGGAGGACAGTACTACAGTGCTATTTTTATCTGGATTATGATGACATTAAACCCTATCCTCAACTCTTAAGGCAATGAAAATTTGTGACTGCGTGCTGTGTATATCCAGCTTTAAAGACTATGTGAACCAGGGCGCTGGAGTGATAATACAGCGGGTAGGGCATTTGCCTTGCATGCGGCCAACCCAGGTTTGATTCCCAGTATTCCATATGGCCCCAGGAGCACCACCAGAAGTAATTCCGGAGTGCATGAGCCAGGAGTAACCCCTGAGCATCGCCGGGTATGACCCAAAAAGCAAAAAAAAAAAAACAAGAATATGTGAACCTTATCTCTAAACATCACTTCTAAATTTGGTTAGGGAAAAAATCCCTAAGATTAAATACGGTGTATGTCTAGCATCAGGACCCTGAGCTTCCTAGCATTACATGGTCCCCCCAGACTCTTCAAGTTATACTACAGAGCTAAGATTATAGGATACACATTTTATGAGATGAAAAATACTAATTTGTTTTTTTTCTAATTTATCTAGGCATTAATTCATGGACTAAACAGACATTATTATTCCATTACTATTAACTATCGGAAAAATGAACTTGAACAGAAGGTAAGTTCTGACTTTTAATCTTAGGAAAGGAAAAATATCTTTATTAAGCCATTTAAAATTTTCTGAGTTTTCAAAATTTGGATTTTCTACTTTCATTGATGGGCGCCATATGTTTTTTCATTCTTTTTGAATTATGGAATTAAAAGAAAGAAATAATTTATTGGCTTAAATGCTGATTTACCATCTTTGAAGATGGTGAAGTAGGAGAGAAAGTGGAAAATTTCCTGGTTTGATTTTTGTGAGAAATCTCAAAAATACTTCTAGCTTTGTGATTTTTCTGGTTTCTCAGCTGTTAGACTAAGTTTTTCAGTTGCATTATTAAGTACTTTCTAAGATTTAAGAGAAATAAATTAGATTTCACTTACGCAATACTTTTTTAAAAACCTACCCTGTTTACCTAGTTAAACAAAAGATGAGCTTAAAGGGAAATGCATATTGGGACTTTCAGATGTTTTGAGCTGACTTTGTATCTTCTTATACCAGTTTCCAATTTTGATTAGTTTTTCATTTAACTATCATCTAGTAGATTGACTAGCATTCCTTTGTTTCTACTATTTTAGGATTATTCAGATATTGTGGGGGGGTTTTTTGTCCTCTTCCTTCCTACTGCCAAATATTTGTCTCCCTATTGCTTTGTGGGGTGGAGGTTAGTGGAGTATGACATAGGGCTTATTCCAGGCTCTGCACTCAGGAATCATTCCTGATGGAGCTTAGGGAACCATTATGGTGCTGGGAATAAAACCCTGGCAGCTGCTTGCAGGACAAGCACCCTATCGATAGTCCTATCTTACTAGTGGAAATTTTTTTTACACGAACATGCTTTTAAAAGGGAATTATAGCACATAAGGTTATACAGGAGGTAAACTAAGTTAAATTCTCCATGTCTACTTAATTTCCATTTTTAATCTATATAAATCTCATGTTGTTTTAGATTAATCTTAGATGTGTGCATATATATGTAGTGCTATATAAGATTTTCATTAGAATTTTTTTTAAGTGTGATAACCACTGATTTAAACTCTAAACACACACACAAAGAGTGTGGGTACGTGAGCATAGTGATGAGTAAGGGGGCTGCAGGAAACTGGTTTCCCCATTGCTTTAGATGAGAGGGAGAACTATGTCTCCATATTGGGGCTAGAACAGTGTGCCTTGCACATGGCCAACCTGGCTTCTATCTCTGACACCCTTTATAGTCCCCTGAGGATCTCTAGGAGTGATTCTTGAACACAGAACACAGAGTAAGCCCTGAGCACTGCTAGGTTGTGGGGAAAAAAATTCTTTAGCTGCTTGCTTTTGTCCCAACTTTTAGCTCTACATTGATAAATTAAGTAGATTGCTTCAAGTGTAGTTTGAACACTTTTAATTATACGTAGATATAGGTCATGGAGGATTTATTTAGATGAAATTATTTTATCAGAGTGATACCTAGCAACCACTATTTGAAAATAATCAGTTAATGATTAATCTGGATAATTAATATAAATTATTCAGACCTATGAGATTTTTTCTTTTTTATATTTTGTGCCCATAAACTTAGTCATTATCCTTGACATAAAAGAAACATGTACATGCACTCACACACAAACACAAAATTATAAATTATGTTTATGTTCTTTGGAGTTCATTTTAAATGCTTGCTTGGTACCAAAACCTACTATACCCTTATCCGATCAACCTATATACTTGACACAAAACTTTACCTGAATCATTGGTTTACTTTGCCAGTAGAATCATTGCCTAGGAATGATAGGAATATTAGCTGCTGTGTGGGAATTTGCTGCTTTTGAAATAGTAGGAAAATCAAATTATCAAATATGTGACTTTTTAGCAGAGAGAGGAGCGACTGTGCCAAATTTACTACTGGTTACATTTTTCTAGAACACCATGGAGAAGATGGGCGTAGGGAAATCTAAAAGAATTTGGGCTGCTAGTATAGGATTTTTTTTTGTTTTTGTTTTGTTTGTTTGTTTTTTATTTATTTTTTATTAGTGAAACACCATGAGGTACAGTTGTAGATTTACAAACTTTTGTGCTTGGGTTTCGGTCATACCATGATCAAATACCCATCCCTCCACCAGTGCCCATTTTGTACCACCATGGATAATATTCCCACCCATCCCCCCCTGCCACTGTGGCAGGGCATTCCCTTTTGTTCTCTCTCTCCTTTTGGGTGTTGTGGTCAGCAAAAGAGGCATTGAGTGGCAATCATGTTCAGTCCATAGTCTACTTTCAACATGCATCTCCCCTCCTGGGAGGATCCTCCAAACACCCTCCATTTGGTGCTCCCTTCTCCATCTGAACTGCCCCCTCCCCCATTGTTTTGTTTTTTAATTTTTAAATTGCACTTTCATCTATGGACCTATGAGAGGCAAATTTTGAGCTTTTATGTTTGAAAAATCTCTAGGTGATTTGACAAGAAATGTGTTTTCCAACATGTAAATAATTTTGTACACATAGAGCTGCAAACCTCTATACTGTTACTTTTTCTTGACTTCTATATATGGCTGTAGTTTTCTGGATCTTCTTATTTAAAGTATATAGCTTCTGAGGGCCAGAGAGAGACTGGACAGGAGACAAGCCTTGGATGTGGCTGCTTCAGCAAGGGCATTGGTTTGATTCCCATTACCGTATATGGTCTCCTGAGTACTACTAAAGGTCACTCACAGTGAAAAAATTTTATTTTTAAGCTAATTTAGTTTTGGCTTGGGGGCTCCTAGGCAGTACTCAGGAAACCCGGGACTCCAAGAGCAGTTGTTGGCCAAGCAGGTTAGCAGTTCAGTGCAGTTGCCCAAGGATGCAGTGTTATCCAGGCCCTGCTATTCCAGGAATCAAACTTAGGTCAGGCACATGCCGGGCATATGTCCTAGGTATGCTTGTCATTTGATAGCTGGACCATTACAAATCCCCTATGTAATATAGTTTTATTTATTCATTTGTTTGTGTGTTTAAGAGGTACTATTGAGTGTCTGCAATGATTAGTGTTCTGGTATGTAAGCACCTGAAATAGAACAAAATTTTTGCCCTCTTGATTTCTGTTCTGTGTAAGGGAAATATAATAAACAAGTAAACAAATTTCAGTTGTTGATAATGTTATAAAAATAAGCAAGTTAATGGGAAAAATTGTTTAAGAATGTGGAGAGTGTCTTGGACAAGGAAGTCATTTATCTTTAAAGAAAGTGAGGGGCTGGAGCGATAGCACAGCAAATAGGGCATTTGCCTTGCACACAGTTGACTCAGGTTCGATTCCCAGCATCCCATATGGTCCCCCTAGCACTGCCAGGAGTAATTCCTGGGTGCACGAGCCAGCAGTAACCCCTGTGCATTTGGTTTGTGACCCAAAAACCAAAAAGGGGGGAGGGGATAAAGAAAATGAGGAAGATAAAATGCAAAGATAGAGAAAAAAATTTTCCCTGTAAAGATAGTAAATGCAAGGGCTTTTTGAGTTGGATTTGTATAATTCTTTTTAGGGTTGATTTAAGTTGATTAAAAATTTAATTTAAATTGATGAGTGTCAGGTTTTTTCTGTGAAGTTGTTTCTCGAAGGCAAAAGAAGAAAATATTCTCAATAAAGGAAAATAATCTTTTCATATTTTCCAGATGTTGCTAAATTTGCATAAGAAGAGTTGGATGGAAGGTTTGACACTTCAAGACTACAGTGAACACTGTAAACACAATGAGTCAGTGGTAAAAGAAATGTTGGAATTAGCCAAGAATTACAATAAGGTAAAACCTAATTCCAACACAAATGTCTTTCATTATTTGGAGTTTTGTTCTGGGCCATACCCAGCAGTGCTCTGGGACTACTTCCAGCTTGGTGTTTGCTCCTGTTGGTGCTTAGGAAGCCATGTGGTACCAAGAATAGAACCTGGGGCCTCACAGATAATAAGGCAACTGCTGTATTTCTGAACCATATCCTCAGTCCCTAGCATTAGTTTCCTAATAATCCTTGGAGAGTGTGTAATTAAATGTCAAACATTGTATAAATATAGCTTTAAAAGAGAGGCCTTATTTTGTGGATCTAGTAAATATTTTAAGCTTTGCAGACCTTCCAGTCTGTCACAATTATTCAACTCTACCTCTGTAGTATAAATACAGCCACAAACAGTATTATATGGCTGGGTGATGGTATAAAAATGTGTTATAGTAAAACCTTATGTACTGTAGGCTGCTGGTTAGATTTGTGCCATAGTGTATAGCTTGCCAGTCCCTGTGGTAGCTCTTATAGAATGGTTTGAAATCTCATCATATATATATGTATGTATGTATGTATGTATGTATTTAGAGAGAAAGAAATGTATATGTATGAAATCTCATCAGATTCTAAGGATTTTTTGGTTTAGAAGAGAAGAACAGGAGGACATAGGCAAAAATATGTGTTCGTTGTCATTCATTTATGAACTTTTCTGATCCTGCTATGTGCCAGACACTGAGGCTGTGGTAGAAGCAAGACCTGTCCCCACAGAACTTGCTTTGTGTTAGGGAAACAAACAGAAAATAAGAATATAAATGCAGCATATTAAATCATTTTTAACGCTACAAGGGGGGAGGGAATGATAACGTAAAGAAAAGTAGCAAGAAGAAAACATTTTACGTGAAGAAGTTAGAAACAAAAAAGATTTGGGCTCTAAGACCAGAGAGGTAGATAGAATTTGCAGTACAGCCGAACCCAATTTGATCTCTAGCAACAGATGACACTGAGAATAGCCAGAAGTAGTCCCTGAGCAACATGGAGTATGGCCCCCAAAACAAAAATTTTGAGTTTTATTTGTCTTAAAATATTCTAGAAGTGATTATTATATACTAAAATACATATGGTTATGAAAACGGCTTCATTCATGGATTTTTATTCTTTTGAAATTCTAAAATTAAATCCTTGAAACATAACTAAAATGTAATTTCCGTGTATTAATTTCATAAAGCTACTGTGCCAAACTATCATAAATTATCTGTATTCATTGCTGTACTGGTTATCAAACCCAGGACTTGTTTATACAGTGCATGCATTTTGCTGAGTCACATCCCTAGTGAATTGTGCATTTTTTTCTTTTGTCTTTTGCTTTTGAGCCATACCTGGTATGCTGAGGTTACTCCTGGCTCTGCACTATGGAATTATCCCTGGCAGTGCCTGGGAGACCATCTGAGATTCTGGGAATTGAATTTGGGTCAGTTGAGTGCAAGGCAAGTGATCTACTCTCTGAACTATTGATCTGACCCCAGATTGGGTATTTAGAATAACAGATTTATTGGAGATCCAAAGTCAAGGTATTAACAGGCTCGTACTCCCTCAAGAGAAGGATACTTCTTTTACTTTTTAAATTTCTGTTGTAGTATTTTTTTTTTCTTTTTGGGTCACACCCAGCAACGCTCAGGGGTTACTCCTGGCTCTGCACTCAGGAATTACTCCTGGCAGTGCTTGGGGGACCATATGGGATGCTGGGAATCGAACCCGGGTCAGACGCATGCAAGGCAAACGCCCTACCCGCTGTGCTATTGCTCCAGCCCCTGTTGTAGATATTTTTTGACTTATGGTAATATAACTCCAATTCTAAGCTGGGTTAGGATCTCAGCTTATCTTCTTGGGGAGCACATTTTAAGCTTTGCAGACCTTCCAGTCTGTCACAGTTACTGCTGATACATTTGTTTGCCAACTCTCTGGCCAAAACACTTGGTAAAACATATATGTAATACATGTGTGTGTGTGTGTGTGTGTGTGTGTGTGTGTGTGTAATTGTAACAAAAGTTTTATTAAATAATATTTTCCCTTCTAATATCTGATGTTTTCTTTCCTCATTTGACCGATTTTCTTGGTTTTTTTATTATTTATTTTTTATTTTTGTTGTTATTGTTGTTGTTATTTGAGTCACACCTGGCAATGTTCAGGGGTTACTGCTGGCTCTGCACTCGGGAATTACTCCTGGTGGTGCTTGAAGTACCATAATAATGGGATGTTGCAGATCAAACGCAGGTTGGCCATGTGCAAGGTAACTTCTATGCGGGCTGTACTATCGATCCAGCCCCTCATTTTTGTTTTTAATTATATACACAGAACATTTTACACACGTACATAGCTCACAGCTCATTAATAGGTTGAAGATCTATAATGCATAAAACATATAAATAGCTGAGAATACATCGAGTGGAAGAATGCGTACTTTGCATGTAGAATTCTTGAGTTGGTTCCCTTGTCCCTTCCCTCCACGCACAACTCTTCCCACAGATACATAAGCATTAAACAGTATTATGGTCACCAATGTATTGAGTACCAAATTACAGTCACAAACAGGGATCCTACTTGCATTTACAGAAAAATGAAAACAGTAAGAAAAGTTCACAAATAGACTAGTCGGCATATTTTATAGCACCTAACACCTAAGTATTCAGGTTGTCCAGGGGCCAACTATGTTGATTGGGATCTTGTTATAAACACACTCTTGCTGAATCAGAATCTACATTTTACCAAGATTTCATATAGTCTCAAGTTAAATCTTGGAGAAAATCACCAGGTCTCTGTGAAGTCCTTTGGGCATGTGGAGACTTATGTTTTATCTGCGAGAGATCCATGTTATCTTAGAGAATTACAACTATTGTACTAGAGCTTACAGCATGAATAGAATTTAGACACAGAAATATATCATAGACAAGATAATCATGAGCGAAGACTAGGAGACAAAAGTACATGCTTAGAAAGTGTCTTGAGTATATGCTACTATAAATAATGTTTAATTTTTGTAATTACTGAAATCAAATAATTGTATTAAGAGGAACTGTCAGGTTTTCATAGAGATAGTGGAAACAAAAACTATTATTAATAGAAAGTAAAACATTATACCAGTTGAGTAGATGAAATGAAAGAGTTGGAATCTGAAGATGAACTCAAGATTTCCGTTAGTTTCCCTAAATTCATGTTGGTACTGGTGATGTTATTGGTTGGGTAGAAGGATTGAGGAAGGAGATCAGTTTCAGTTTTAAAACAAGCAGTTAGAAATGTAGGATTAAAAATTTTAATGATAAGGATAGAGTGTAAGATTTTGGAGTAAAATTGATAATAGTTGTCTCACCAAAAGTAAGATATCTTTTTCTGAATAAACACATTCACAAAGAAAAAATAAAATATTAATAATCCAGAAGTACTGTGTAAATGTGCCAAGTGTAGCAGCCAGTCTTTTGAGAGAATGGAACTTTGGGGGGAAAAAATCTAGATTGTTGCTTATAAAATAAATTTCAGCAGCCAAAGAGATAGTATAACAGTTTGAGTACTTTCATTGCACGTGACTGACCCAGGTTTGATCTCTAGTACCAAATATGGTCTTCTGAGCACTCCCAACAGTAATTTGTGAGCACAGAGTCAGGTGCAAGCCATGAACACCAACCAGATATGACCCTCAAACCCAATAATAATAAAAAGTAATAAATATCAGTAGAATTATATTTGGCTTTGAGGAGTCCACTCTAGTTTTATGTCATCTTGGAGTTAGAAATCTCTGTAGGTTACAGGTTTTCTAGTTTAACTGTTCATACTGTGTTGATTAAAGAGATAAATACATAATCATATTTAAAGAATTGACTTTTTTATAAGTTAAAAAGTTGTGACTTTATTCAGCAAACTGTAGGATTGGCTTTCATTTCTCCAGTAATACAAGTTGAAGTAATTCATGTTGGTATTGCTGTCAGGAAATAACCTATTTTTGGTTGCTGCCCATCTACAGAAGTTTTTCCTATTTTACAATTTTAAAAATCTGTGTAGTACTCAGAAACTTGTAAGGTTTGGTCATAGAATAAAAACATAGAATAAAAACGTGTAAGCTGTGATATGAAATAGTCCAGGTTTGGGGATGTAATTCCTTCTGTAATTGTGCTAGATGTTTTTAGTAACAGATAAAATATAAAAAGAAAGATTGTGTACACTTTTCAGTTGATTGGGATTTTTAATTATTGTTAGGTTTCAGCCCCTAAAATGAAAGTTTACTTTTTCATTCTAAGGTGAATTTTACAGAGATTCTGCTTGCTTATTAGTCACTGGTTTCTCTAATCGTTGAACTACAAAACCTACAACTGTTATTCAAAATCTCAATTACTCATGCCAAGGATTTAAAAATATTTGTATTTGATTAGCATATTTGTAAGTGCATGTGAAGGTAAAAGTGAATTGATAATGGATATTTTAAGGATCACTTAGAAACACAGGATTTTTCATTTTTTAAAAAATGTAGCTGTGTAAATTCTGATATCTCACTGTTTCTATGTAAGATGGAGGTACTGACCTACTTAGTAATCTGAAAGAAAATCTAGATGTGTATTTATAGGATTACATGTGAAATATGTAATTATATGATTATATATGTTTCGTTCACTGCAGTAGCTATTAATTAAATAGGGAAGTCTTGTTTTGTGCTAAGCAGGAAAAAAAAATAAGATTTAAATGTTGCGACCAGATTCTTAATATTTATCATAGGTTATATTTGCAGTCAAACATAGAATTTCAGAAGATAGACTGAAAAATTGTCATAACTGTTGTAGTTGAAAATGTAGTAGTAACTGCAATTTAATAGATTTAAACTTGCTGAAAGACATAATAGGCAAAAAAGTTCTCAGCAGCATCCAAAATTATCAAATCTTTAGGAATACCTACCATAAGAAATTAATATGATTTATTTGGAGAATACTAAAAATACTCCTGAAAAAATTGCCTTGTTTCCAAATGGGAACTTAATATTATAAAATTG